TAACTAGTATAGTGTTTTGCTGCCAAAATTGACCCTACTCTAAAAATATCAACACTTTCCAACTCTTTTTGACTAAGATAATCCTTACTGCTTTTAACTCAACCCATTAACACTTCAATCTTATCTACCTAGTTCCAAGCCCACAAAAGTATTGGTCAAAAACAACTAAATGTGAGAACATGGATCTAATTAATATTTTAATGAATAATGCCACCCTACTTTTACGGGAGCACGTGCATGTAAAATATTTTTTTGAGAAAAATATATTATATATAAATTTTTTTATTTTTATTTTTCATGTTTTATAAAGGTTATGGAAAAAAAAAAAATTTTAAATAAAAGTATTACATGTAAACAAACGGAGTCTCTAAATTTCAAAAAAATTATGTGTTTCAATTCAAGGATTAAGTTGAAGACTTTTATTTCAAAGAAAATATATTTTTTTATTTGTATTTTTATTTTTCTATATTTGACAAAAGTTCTAAAAAAAAAATTCAAAATAAAAGCATTACATCTCTAAACAAACGGAGTCTCTAAATCCCAAAATATACATTCGTATAATTTATATGAACGAAATATCATTTTGAAGCAATTGGGTAAATGATTCAAAAGATTTAACATTTTTGTAATGTCAAATGTGAACACACTTGATTAATGAGAAATGTTATTTAACCACCAAAGTATAGACGATAGAGTTATTGCTTATAATTGTTGGGCCTCCATCAAACATAGCAGCAGCCCAAATATGATAGTTTGAGGGCATGCAGTTGGTGGCAAAGATGTCTAATACATTTACATATTTTTGGTTACCGACTTTGAAGGGGTCATAACCGACTTTGAAAGGCTTATCATAATCTATCATTAGTTTTGATTACGGACCATATTTTTGAAAGCCTAAGCCTCTAAACGAGCTCTCATCTTAGATTTTTTTTGGATCACCCTCTAAATTGTGCGTATAGAAAGGTCGATGGATAGAAAGTTTTAACTATGATTTGAATGCATGTATGCAAATGTATGGATTTCAAATATCTAGGACTGACTTGACACTTTCACCACCGCCAATTCTACCTCGGCCACAACCTAACTCTAGCTCCCACCTTGTGCCACTGAGCATATTCTCAACATTGACGATCATGAAAGCGTCAAGGACGGATCCAAGGGTGGGCGAAGCTGGGCTTTAGCCCACCCCAAAAAAAAAAAAACATAGCCCAATCCAAAATTAGCCCACCCCATTCAGAAAGACTGGATCCGCCCTTAGAAAACGTCAAGTCAGTCCGGAATTGTGTCTTTGATTTTTTTTAAATAACAAATGGGTTACACGGAGCCAGAAAACAATCTAGGACAATAGTCTTTCATATATGGTTACCATGATTAGAGTCTGAATTTTCAGATCTTGAACCATACCAAACTGTTTTGAGCGTGGATTTGCAGAACTAATAAAAGAATTGGCTTTTCCCCCAAGTCTTTGGATATGGACGGGACATCATTTCAGGAACAACAATGAGGACTAATAGGTAACGAGTAGCACACTTATTTGTGTAGATTTGGGACCAAGAAAGACATTCAACTGAGATCAAGAAAGAGGATGACGACTAAGAGGTAACGACCACCATATTTGGCAATCAACATGAAGGAGAAGATGAATAGTGGGGAAGGATGACGAGTGTATGTGCATAATTTATAATCGGTTTGTAAATGCAAATTTGTTGTTTCAAGTTGTGGACTACCAGCCCCAGGGGTTTGGTCCAGCGGTAAGGAGAGGGCCTTCGTTCTCATCGGTTCAGGATTTTGCTCCCTAACATTCCATTTTAACCCCTAACTAACCTGGTGTTATTACTAAAGGACCGACTGCAGTATCCCGAGTTTGTATCTTTGGGGTGACTCCAAAGGACCTTGGGCACTTGCCCAAGGAAGTTCTGGTGCCAACTAAAAAAACATGTTGTGGACTACCAACCAATAAATTTAGTTGTTTTTAACATTTTGTTTGTATCAAAGACTTGCTTAGATTTGTTAGTGGGCCACTAAGTAGGCAATAATAAACACAATTTTGTTATAGTTAAAAAGTCCAGAACCAGAAACAATCCAAACAACATGACGAAATAGTCCATATGTATCGCAGCCCAAATCAAGAACCAACTAAAACCATCGTGGTTGCTCCTACTATGTGTCATATGCCCTTTCTTTTACTGCAAAATAATTTTTATTTCCTTTTCTTCAAATTAATAACAACTCAATCGGCCAATTTTATGAAGATGATGAGAGGATACAACTATACAAGTACACTTGTTTAAATTTTGACATTATTTTTGTATAAGGTGAGTAGTTATACTTGAATATATTCCTAGGATTCATATATTTTATAAAAAAAAATTCTAATCAAAGATAGAACGAGTTTCATTTTGCACGGTATCTGAAGTATTTTTTTTTTTTTTTCTTTTCTATCGGTGAGGATCCATCCCACTAGAGCGATTTCTACTTTTAATAAGTCATGAACTAAATCAGAATCATTTTCCGCGATAAAAATTTCGGTATAATGTTTTAGGGGAGAGCATACACATATGATGGACAAAGAAGTAGTTTGTAAGATATACTTTATACATATACTGTACAATTTAAGCAGGACGGTTCAGCAAGATGTGCATGAATTTAATAAATAATTGGGAATCGTTTTGTTGTGATCCACACATTGTTGTCTCCGGCCCAACGTGCACTGCCATATACTTTTCAAGCCACCACCTAATAGGAGGAATCCTATGTTGCATCTTTAATTTTACCCATGTCTTTTGAGAATAATAATTTAATTTAATTATTATTTTTCTGATTCTTAAATTAATTGGAAGTAGTTCCAAGATTAGAGAATAAAAACATTGGACTCTATTAGCTAGCTGATTGCATCGCATGCAATGTAGTTATGTAAATATATATATATATATATACACACATATACTATATAGTAATATTAGAGACATATAGATATATATAATATTTTATAGTATATGGTTTACATCTCTAATTAAAGAAGCTGTCTGTTTGCCGTGACAGGACTTTTAGGTGGGAGGGACAATGATGTGGTGACAGTTTTGTGGATTAAAATGAGGTCAGAACCAAAGTGTGGACACTTGCGCCAAGTGTGTGGGCATTGGATTGTTGTGAAAATACTTTCAAACTAGGACTTGGAGGTTGTTGAGAGATGGTCGTGGTGGTAGTAAATTCACCACTTCATAGAATTTTTAATTTTTAATTTTTAATTTTTAATTTTTTCAGTGGGGGCAAAATTGTTAAAATTTTATGGGTATATAATTTATAAAAAATTGGGTATATAATACAAAAACAGAAAATTTTTATGGGGGCGACTGTCCCTACTAAGCCTAGTGGAGATCCGTCCCTGAATAAGAAGTCAAAATAACTCATTAAAAATTTCAAAATTTTCACTACTCAACTTTAAATGGGGTGTTCTTTCTCTGCGTACTTCTTACGAATATATTTATGCTCGTCTCAAAACGTAGTTTAAAGTTAAGGCTCATAATAGCTAACAAAAATATTACATTCATGAGTTAACATTTTACATTTAAGCCAGCTTGATACATATTGAGCCCTAAAGCAATAAATTTAATGGAAATATTATTTCATCTTTAGTATAAATAATATTAATTAAGTCTATATATTTTCATAACTTCACTAATTAACCGATTAAAAGAGCCTAAAGAAAGAGAAAAAAAAAATACTATAATAACAACCTAGAAGAATTTTAGAAGAATAAGAGAATATGTGGTAAAAAGGAGATGGTTAGAGTAAAAGTCTATAGTTCAATTAAATCTATAAAATTGGAGGGAATGTATACCTTGAATCCAGTCTATTTTTATCATCCATGGAGGGAACATATAATTAAATTGTGTAAAAAATTATATGGAGTGTTTTCATTAAGTATTATATATATAAAGGCCTTAAACAAGCATCTAATCGTTTACTGATTAAGCAAGTTTTAATTACGTTCTACTTGGACAAGTAAATCAAAGAGGCATGGCGAATGATTATAAATTTATTGTCTCTACACAAACTAAAATTATTAAGAAACACCTTGTTAAATGTTACTCGAATATAATCCGAACGTCTTAGTTATTAACATTTTATTACCTACTTTTGATATAATACTTTCTTTCAAGTTTCAACTAAATATGCCAAATGAAAATTTTCAATTACATGTGGAATTTACACTAGCACAGCAAGAAGCCTTTTTTAAAAGAGAACTGTAAATAAAATAAAAAAATGGGAGTTTGTACACTATATCATTCTAATATTTTATTTTTCCGTTTGTAAATTTTGATACGCTTCATATAACAACTTTTCAGGAGTAATAGTAAACTGTTATTATATTCAGTCAAAAAATTGAAACAAAGACATATTTCTATTTTATTCAACTAAAAAAAAATATTTTAAAAACAGAAAATAGAAGTTGAAAATGGCTATAATAAAAAAACCATAGTTTGGGGCATGTCCTGAGCCTGAAGAGGACTTGAAACCAAACACTACGCATTTCTGCATCCACGACTCGGACCAAGCACTCCCTCTTACCGTTTTGATGCGAATATTCAAAAAATGGGATTGAGTTAATTTCACGCGCTTGCATTTGGCGTAAAATTAACTCCAATCCAATTTTTAATTCAGTGCCATATGTGTCCCCACATGATTGTAACGTACCTTCACGCTCCTCACTAGCGCGTGTATTTTCAATTTCATTCAAAAAGACTATATAACTCACGGCTGTTTTTTTTTTTGTCGAATGTCAATCTAAAATCTTACAGCAAAGGTTTCCCAGGTCTCTCTCTCTCTAACCCCTATCCCTTTCTCTCTCTAAACACATCTGTGAAAAAAAAAAAAGAAAAAACTTTACATAGCAATAAAGGCGAATACATATACATGTGTGAATAATGTATACCCCACACCTAAATTAAACCACCAGAGCTGAAAAAAGGCCACTCAATTATACATTCACATTTTCCATGTATTTATTTCCTTCTTTTTCAGGGTCCACAGGACAGACCTTTCAAGTTATTTTCTCACACAAACTTTTTGTGTGTGAATTTTGTTCTAAATTCTTTTTTCTCTGCTATCAAGATTCAAACCCTTTTTTGCCATGTCTGGTTTATACACACAGAATTTGAATTACTCACCTGCAAGAGCTGCTTCTCCACATGTGAGGACCAACCCAGATGTTGATAGGTAATAAGAAGAGCAATTCTTTGTTTCTGATGTTAAACTTTCAATTGGGTTTTAATATGCTTCAAGGTTTTGATCGATTAGGGTTTTATGTTATTTTTTTTTTTTTTATCTTTTGTAGTCAGTACTTGACAGAGCTGTTAGCAGAGCACCAGAAACTTGGACCCTTCACGCAAATCCTACCCATATGCAGCCGACTGTTGAATCAAGGTTGGTTTCTACCTTCAATTCTCGGATCTAGGTTTTCTATGTTTTAATGGGTTTTTGTTGTTTTGACTAATTCTTATGATTCTCTTCATGTTCGAATGCGATTAGTTAATACATGTATGCAGGATATGTAGACGCCTTCTTACCTACCCATATATATACATGTAAATGTGGTGTATAAATGTGTGAGACTATTAGTAGGATAGTATATACAGCTAAACTGAATTGTATGTTAATTGGGTTTTTTGTTTTCGTTTTCTTCAATCTACATTTGAATGATCATTGAGTTAGAATTTAATCTATTACTTGTGTTAAGGCAATGTTTTCTAAATCCGTAATTTCATAAAAATCTTCAGTAAGTAAGCTTGGCATCATCGTGATCCTGAACAATTCAGATATTCAATATTTGATATGTTTCCTCGATGTTGTAACCGATCTCTTTCACAGTTATCAAAGTTCAATGTACTTCCCTTTCTCCAGTAGATTACTTTAGTTAATGGTCATTGTGGTTTGTCTGCTTTGATTCTTATTTTGAATGGCTTTATGTTTCACTAATCATGGCTTGAACTTGTATATCCTTTCTATTATAGGCTTTTATTTCTGTTTCACTTCTCTAATCCATTTTCTGCATCCCCTTGTTATAATTGTCTGCATATGCATCAAAAATTATTTCATGGTCACTCTTCTTGTATTTTTATAAAGTAAATATTCCTTTAAATTGTTTCATTACTTTTTAATGTTTGTAGAGATATTAAGGGTTTCTGGCATGATGTCCAACCAAGGGTTTAGTGAGTTTGACAGACTGCAGCGTGGAAGCCCTAGTCCCATGGCTTCTTCAGACATAATGCCAAATCTTGGTGGAACAAGTTTAGGTGGATGGAGTGGAAATGGCTGGAGTGGCCTTCCACATGAGGTATGTAAGCAAATGTTTGTCATCATGAATGGCTGAAATTATCACTCCTGGATCCTCCCCGGATGATAAAATCTGTTCAATTCTTATATATCACAATTTTATATGCACCTGTTCTTTATGCAGTTGTTCTCTACTATATTTGATTAGTAGCACTTGTATGTGCTCCCTTAAACTTGTCCATGCACTACACATTTATGCTTAATGATGCCTAGCTCCATATTACTTTTATACCTACTGACTCATGATTTGGAATTTCAGACCATTAACTTTGGCACCATACTACTACATGAGATAAAACCCCATTTCTACCTATATCGTAGAAAGTTAAGAACTTCAGGTTGTCACCTACCCAGGAGATAAACCCCATCTGAGAATCCCATCACTGAGGTGACTGAGCTCATTAGCTAGTGCCACTGGTACATCTTATGGGGAAATGATTGCCTATTATTTTCCTCTGCATAACCACACATTTTTTTTTTGGCTAACAAACATTATTATTTCTATAATGATGAAACGTCCATTGTTTATTTCTTGATCTGTTTAGACTGACGTATGCTCTTATAATCTATTGTATCTTAACTGAAATATCTGCCTCTCTTTTTAGTATGTTCATAGGCTCATAGCCAAGCCACTTTAATTTCTTATTAGGCCCTTGGTTTTTAGTTGCATATCTTGTCACTCAATATGTCTAGAATACACTGGTAATTTTTTATAACTTGGAGTAAATGATATGTGCCATGTCCCTTTGAATGTGCAATGCATGACTACTTGCTCATATATAAAACCATCCTGAAATGCCAAACTGGACCTTTCTCTCTCTTTGTCTCTGTGTGTGTGTGTGTGACAAGTAAAAGAAATTGAGAAAATATAAGTGAAACAAGTTACTACTAGAGACAACAATTTGATCTCTTACTTAAATGGTTTTAAGGTCAAAATTCTGCTTTTACTGAGATACCTCTGCCCCACTTTAAAATCTCTCTGCTCCTATCATGTGGGCTATTGGAGATTACAAAGACCACTCTTATTGCTCTTTACCTTCCCATTTGTGGAAATGTTTAATTTTTAAATTTGTTAAAAAAATCTCTATTCTACATTAACCTTTCTAAATGGGTGGAGTGCTAGTGTAGGACTGCAATATTTTATGGATTCTAATTTCTAATAACATACTCCTAAACTACGTCTTCATCATTATCATATTGTTGATTAGAGGCTGCATCAAAGTATAAACAAGGCACGTCTATAAAATTTATTAAATAGTAACATTTGATAATAATATGTTCATTATGATTTTGCATGTGAATGTGCAATGCAATATGTAAGATATAATATTATATGTTAAACACCTTTCTTTCTATCTGTCTGTGTCTCATTGTGCGCACGCGAGTGTATAAAAACACACATGATCTCCTTAAACTTGGTCTCATAGCTGACGTGATGTGATGATCTAGTAGCCTCTGCTCTGTTGGTCCAAACCAATTATATGGTTCTCCCACCCCCTTTTCATTCTCCCAGTTAGTTGCCCTATGGAGAATTTCTGAGACTTTGAAATGATACGCAGCATGTAGAAAGAAAATCTTCCCCACCTGCTTATCTTGCAGAATGATGATATCAAACAAATTAACTGATTAAAAGCAATAGTGACTATATGTTTAACAAATGACCTATACTCAAACTCAATTCAACAAAAACTTGGTCCCAACTATTTGAGGTTTACTTTTGTAAATTCTTGTTCACCAGTTAGTTCTATCTAGATGCATAATTGCTCAACCTATCTCCATTCTTCTATTAAAGTTGAACAACCCATGGTTGACAGAGTTCATCTTTTTAAGTAATCTCCAAAGGCATATATAAAAACATCTGCCAAGTCTCAGACCTAAATATGCTTTTCAGTTGCTCAACAAATTTTGAAAATCAATGCTACTTACAGAAGGAGAAACTCATAAGAAACAAATAAAAAGCATAATAATAAGAAGAAGAGGTGAGAGAGAGAGAGAAAATAAAAAAATAAAAAATAAAAAAAAAATAAGAAAGAATTTTATTCCAATATTTATTGTTGAAGAAAAAACTCATATGGCTATTACCTGTGGATATCCAACAATTACAAGCGGTTAGTAGTTCATTTAACCAAGGCCCTAAACATCCTCCTGTTCCAGGCTTTGTCATATAGGTTGAGTTATCTTGACATCCCTAGTCCTTTCCATTTCTTGTATATGGAGTTCAGATGTCTTTCCACCCCTTTTGTATGAATGATACTTTCTAGGGTGAAGAAGTGAGAAGCACCATTGATCCTTGGGCAATTCCAAACATTAAATCCATAGTCTGTATGGCTGTTAGTTTATCAAGCTCTTAGTTGACTGCTTGTGTCAATTCCCATATTGTTGTTTAGTTGCTGTAATATTGAGAGGAATGCGCAATGTCCGTCATTCTTTGGATATATGTGCCAGAGATTTTGTTTCTTATATTATTTTACAGTATTATATGTTCCTGTGGAATTACTGTGAATGCTAGGTACTTGCTCATCTGCTTTTCGTGTGTTAAAAATACTCATGCTTTGTTTCTGCTTTCCTGTTCTTCTTTCACCTAATTCATTAAATGTCCTAGTTTTTCTTTTCTTTTTTTCTAATCTGCCTATTTGATTCTAGTTATGATAATAAGCCTTGCGTTCATTGTGTAATAGAGATTAGGTGGACCACAAGGGAAGACAATGGACTGGCAGGCAGCACCAGGAAGCCCAAGTTCCTATATCGTGAAGAGAGTTATGCGCTTGGAGATACCGGTGGATAGCTATCCTAATGTAAGCTATATGACATTGATCTCTCAATTTCGTGTTTCCTTTTAAGTAAAAACTAAAAGAATGATTTTGGAATACCAAGGGATTAGCCCAAGTGGTATCCCCTCCTCCTTTCAAATGGAAGGTTGAGGATTCGAGTCCCCACTGGGAAAAAAAAAAACAGGAGAGATTTTGGACGTTGTTTTCCTAACATTAAGAAGTGCTTAGACTAACTACAGTTCTTTTGGACAATAGTTCAATTTTGTTGGGCGACTTCTAGGTCCACGCGGCAATTCCCTAAAGCGGGTGGAAGCTTCAACAGGATGCCGTGTATTCATTAGAGGAAAAGGTTCAATAAAAGACCCTGACAAGGTAATATACTTTTAGGGAAAAAAAATTAAATTAAAATTTTCAATTATATGTAATCTTTTAAATCTCTAACATTAGGTTAGACAATTCAAGGTTCAAATCTGTAGCATGCTGAGTCGAAATTGTTTCTCATGCTATAATATATATATGTATGCATACTTTCTAATTATGGATTTATCTTTGAAGGAAGAGAGTCTAAGAGGAAGACCAGGATATGAGCACCTGAATGACCCTCTGCACATTTTGATTGAGGCAGAATTACCTGTTAATATTGTTGATGTACGGTTGAGACAGGCACGGGAAATTATAGAAGAACTGCTCAAACCTGTGGTATTTGTTTTTATCCTAATCTCTTTTTGTTCTATGATGTATGGCTGGCTATTCAGTACACTTCCAGCCATATATTGTTGATGTACGGTCATGCATAATTTGCAATATGAAAGCTATGTTACATGGACTCGGGTATGACAGTACATGTGTCTCGGGTGGGGATATGTATCCATGTATCAGACATGTCAAATTTTCAAACAAAAAGACACATGAACACCGCTAAATATTCATATTATTTATTTATTAGAGTAAAATAATGTCTTTATGTAACATAATGTACAATGTAGACATTTCACTCATTTTGAATCAATAATATAATAAAATTGATTTATTGGACATGTTTTTTAGGTACATGTCCAACTAAAAGTGTCGGACGCATATCACATACCCATGTTCGAGCAATGTGTTTTAGACACGAGTACTTCACCTACTTTTGAAGAGTCTATTTAACATAGTGAAAGTGAAAATTATCGATGAAAGAATATAATGAATATATTAGCTTCTATATTGCGTAGCTTTTAAAATGACTAGTCACAAAATATCAAAAAGATCAAGCTTGATGTTAGGTATTTTTATTCTTCAAAAGGGCCCTTCACTTGTGACCAAAGTACTATCAGGGGATGTAACTAAGGAATTTATATCCCACAACACTTTTTATAGATATCCTCATTTTCTTACATCTTCAACTGCAGGATGAGTCACAGGATTTCTATAAAAGGCAACAGCTAAGAGAACTTGCCATGCTAAATTCCAACTTCAGAGAAGAAAGTCCTCGACCGAGTGGTAGTGGAAGTGTGTCTCCTTTCGGCTCCAGTGGGTTGAAGCGTGCAAAAACTGGTTGGTAGGGATCTGTTCTAATTATTCTTCCTGATGACCTATCGTGGCACCTGGTTTTCATCTTGTCACCATATTATGCACCTCGGTGTGTGTGGATTCTGTGAAGCTTGAAAGAGAGGGCTGATCGAACATGGCTGGCTGAATTTTGATGCAGGACGAATTCGATAACACGAATCGAGGGAATAGGAAAGAGTAACAACATTCCTTGTAGCTTTTGTGACTGTAGTTGCTTGCTGTTGTAAAAGTAGAATAATTATTGGATTTATTTGTTATTAATCTATTCTATTTGACTGGTGTCGGAAAAACTATTGACAGCCCTGTGACTCTTTCAGATTGAGGGATATATATATATTGTGCAATTGCATAGATGTTGTATTAACTTATCTAGAGCTGTTTGTGTTTTTCCTGATCAAAATATGTAAGCCATATTTTTTTGTCTTTTTGCAGGGAAAAATAAAATAAAAGAAAGACAAAAAGTTATGACCCTTAACTAGAAATCATTTGGAGTTCGTTTTAGGTGAGGCACATTCCATCATTAGAAATTGGTGGAGCAACATTTTCTTCGTGTGGTCTAGTCAAAGATCCTTTGAGCAATTTTTATTTTATTATTATTATTTATTTACCCCACCTTTCTCCATTGGAATTTTATGCTATTTTTATTTTTTATACAAAAATTTAATAATAAACACCTTAATAATTTATTTCTTAAGGTGTTTTGTGAAGTCTTAAAAAATTTACAAAACACCTTAAGAAAAACTTTTAAAATTTAAAAAGACCTTTCATTTTCTAACTCATTGACCACACATAATTTTCAAAATTCAGAAAAGACCCATATGAACTAGGGTAAATGAAACTTTTCACAAGGAATTTTTCACAAAATTATCAACAAACACTAAGAGCATCTCCAACCGTTGTGTATATTTTTTTGTGTAAATGTGATGTGTGATGATGAATTTATACAAAAATTTTGGATTATTTAATTTTAACTCCAACAGTTGTTTTATACTTTTTGTGTAAAAATATATCTCTCAATGACAATCAACCATGTGTCATGCCAGGACCTAACATAACTTTTACAAACCTATTTAATATATGGTTAATTTTTTAATGGAACGAGAAAGAGGGATGAGAAAAGAGATATGTTGATACAGTAGTGTAAAAATGTTGTGTAAAATACACAAACCTTTTACACATTGGTAATATAGCAATGTATCTTAACATATGCTGGAGATGAAAAAAATTTACACATCATAAATGACAGTGTATATTTTACACAAAAAAATATTTAATATACCGCTAAAGATGCTCTAATATTATCAACTAATTAAAATGCTTCACTGTTAGACCGTGGTATTTGATTCATCAAATATATCATTATTGTACACTCCTTCGTATATATGGCGCAACACAATTCTTATTTTGTACCTTTAAAAAAAAAAAAATTGAAATATATAAGTAATAAGAAATAACCTAACTAATAAAAAATTCACTCTTGACAGTGATATATGTTGCATATGTAAATTCTAAATGTGAAAATATGTGGGATTCGTGTATAAAAAGGTTAAAAAAGAAAGAGAGAGAGAGAAGAACAGGCTTCAGATAGTCCCGCAAAACTTTTAAGAATCAAAATTAAGAAAAGACCTTTTTTTTTATTCAAAATTTCTCATTATATTGACCTCATTTGAAATAAATTCTTGACTTTCCCAATGTCACTGAAGCTGACTCTAGTTGCTCTTTAGGTTTTGAATATTTAAGTTTGAAATTTTAAACACATATATGAAAAAATGTGAAATATATTGTTTAAAAAAAAAAAACGTGAACAATTTTTTTTTTTGGGATGGAGAGAATATATATAATAAGGGTTTTGAAAAACATGTGAGCCCATGAAGCAAGCGAGCCCAGACCAGGAGAAACCACCGGCCCACTATCACCAAGCTCATTTTACAGTCAAACAACTGGTATAGTGTGTTGGCATTTGCCATTTCTCAAACCCCAATCTGTTAAAACGAGTATCGATCTAGCCACTGACGGCTGCTAACGTGCGCAGGGTTGATAGAGAGAAGCATCGAAAAGGATGGGGAAGACGCCGGTGAAGATGAGGGCTGTGGTTTACGCCCTATCGCCGTTCCAGCAGAAGGTGATGACGGGTCTCTGGAAGGATCTCCCCGGTAAGATCCACCACAAGGTCTCCGAGAACTGGCTCAACGCCACCCTCCTCCTCGCTCCCCTCGTTGGTGTCTATGGGTAAAACCCCTTATCTCTCTTATCCATTCTTGATTCTTAGAGTTTCGATGTATATATGTGTGTGTATATACTTCAATTTCCTTATTGTTACTTCGTCTTGATTCATATTGCCTTTCCAATTTTACCTGTTCCTGTGTGTATAAAGGTTAGTTGTGTGCTTGGATCCAATATTGGTGTAATATATAATTCCATAAGAGGGGGTTTGATTTTGATGTTGATGATTGAGGGACGCTAATTGAATGGAATTAGCTGGAAGTGTATAGCTGTTTGATACCTGAGAATTGTGTGAAATTCGAAAACTGGAGCATTGTCTCTCATCTTTGTTATGCAAAGTGCAATTGCTGTGATGCTGATTGATGCCTTTATAGTTCAGCTTGATTGATCTTGGTTTTAAACATCATCTTTTGTTGATGAGTATTGGCATTGGTTTCACATGAATGTCTAACCGTTGATACACTTGTGCTCTCATTAGTGGTTCTTAATTTAAGCATATCTCAACTGAGCGTAGGCTATGATTAATTTTTTTCCCCCCTAGAGATTGTTGGAATTTCTTCGAAAAAAATAATTAAATACATTTATGGAATTGCTGATTGGTTTTGACAATTTGAGTTTTGGGGGCCTGGGATTCGTATCTACTTGTTTAACTTTCTTCCAACACGAGAAAGCTCAGACACACGGGAAAAGTCTAAAACATCTTATTGAAGCAAGATGTGTGTGGAAGTGACCATACAAAACATGTTAGCTTATTTTTGGTGTTCTACATGTAAAAATTTGTAAATTAGATTATAGAACACTACATCTTCATCATTCATGCCTTTATCCCATATAGACGGGTCGGTCACATGAATTCTCTTTTTCCATTATTTCCTGTTAGTATAGAACGCTATTATTGTTATTAGCTTGTAGAATATATGACTTTTCTTGTTACTTCTGAACTTGATTGCCGCTTGGGCAACCGTCACAAGTCTTAGACCAAAATTGATCTTTCAATATTATATGAAATGAATCTAATATGATTCATATGAATTATAGCTAGATCCTGTCAATTTTGACATGCTTAGATCCTTGTTTAGGTTTCGAATATCCTTGGGAAAAAATGAACCGACTTGGACTATTCATTGTTGGATCCTTTGGATATGGAATATCATATCTAAAATTACTGAAGTTTTGCATCTATTGAACTGTTCTGGTTGGAATCTCATAGCAAAGAATTTGCATTGAAGCCCAATGCATTATCCTCTGACCAATCTTTAGTGGGAGAGAGGATGGGGCATGTTACTAGATTAACTTGCTAGCCATAAAATAGTCAAATATTTGGAAAAATTACTTAGTGTGTTTAATTGAAAATCACATTCAAAACAAAAGGAGGGGGGGGGGTTTTTCTTGCGGTTGGGAATTGTGCTTTTCAAATAGTATTATTTCTTATTATGGGTATTTTTGGCCTAGAATGACATTGCAATGGATGATTTCTATGGGGCTGCATCTCAGCCTACCCCCATTTAGCAGTCTAGTGGGGAACATCTAATGGAGAGCTATGACATTTTAATATAACCCAGAAGAGGTAAGGAGGGGGTGGAGACTGCTCCCTTTCCTACAGTTTAGACATGAAGGGGTCCGCTTCAACCTGGCTGTGGGGACTGAATTAAGGCTATTACTTTTTACTGTAGTTTATGCATAGTTAGGAATTTCCTTAGGCAGGGGTTATGATACCATCTTTTATAAGATGACCATGTTGGGGAGTGAAACATTGGAAATTACATAGTAAAACAAACAATGCATTTATATGTTGTGGTATAGAAAAATGATTCAGAATTCTCTGCATGAGAATGCAATATTTTTGTATTCTTCCTTTATTTAGAAGCTGCAAAATGACATAGCAGTGTCAGGTTACTTGCATTTACAACTTTAACCCCCACTTTTTTTAGGGTTCACCTTTTGAAGGACCATTGGACAGTACAAGAAAGAAAATTTTCCATTCTCTTCATAATGCTTAAATGTATCTATCTGTTTCATTCTTCAGCCATACATAAATGAGGTCACTCTAGTATTTTAGTAATGTCATCATTTTATTTATTTGTTTGTGTTATTTTGTTGATAAATTTCTCCTACAATGAGGCTTAATTAATGCTCAGCTGTGGTAGAATTTAGGGGGAAAATCTTATCTCAATCTAGTTGCTGATGCTTACAAGTGTGTACAGTATACACATTCCACAGTGTCAGTCCTTCTGGCCTTGGTATGTGTCTTTATACGCACTATATTCCTGTGTCTGTTTCCTTCTTAAAGCTGACTTTGCAAGTCACACACTAGTACCTGCAAATATAGGTGTCGTGCACTTGGATTGTGCCACCTCAGGCGCTCTTTACTGGTACTTATGAAGAAGTTCGTGTTTTAGTTCGATCAACATTTCCTACATGCGTACATAGCTTGGCTAGTGCCATATTTATTAATTTACAAAGTTTTCTTGTTAATTTATTCTTACTTTTATTGGCCACTAGATAAACATACGCAGAGAAAAAAGTTATTTCAAAATGAAGAATATTGATGATCCACTAGTCAAAACATGGGATATGTGATGCAATAATTTTATGATGTGCATACCTGTTACACGTGTGCAATGAATGCATTCTTTTATTCTATAGTTAACAATACTGTAAGGTTTGTTATTAACTACTATTAATTATTAGTGAGTACTGATGCATGCACTTGTGATTAACCAGTATTTGACAAGTCTTGCTAGAGTCTTTACCATATTGAAAACTGTTTTTTTTTCTTACTAATTGATGATTTGTTATTAACACTTGGTGGCCAATCCCATTGTTGATGAACCAACAACATAGGCAGACATTGTTGCTACTTTGTTGACAAGCAGTGATAGCTTGTGTTCACCATATTTCCTACTTGTTTACATCTTTTCATTGATGCAGGTATGTCCAGCACTACGAGGAAAAAGAGAAGATGGAGCACAGGTACTGAAGTCTTGCATGAAGCCAATTGCTTTTTGTTTCTACAAAGAACCTCGTTTTTTTTTCCTTAGTTTTGTCAGTAAATAAGCTACTGTTTCAGTATTGACTGCAGCCGAAGTTGTTGGAACTTCGCAATTTTATTGTCATTTTGATGTATCGGTTTTTGTGACTTCTAAATCTAAACTCTCTTCTGTTTTTACTTCCCATTTAGCCTAGTATTGGATGAATATGGTGCCAGAAGCAGGTTCATAAACTTGGTTTCATGTTTCTTTATTATTTTTTAAATCTCACTGCGTTAACTGAAAATTTGAATATTATCATTGATGAAAAGAATTACTAATTGAAAAATCCTTTTTTTTTTCCCCTAGTCACAAGCACTTGTCTCTTTTGACACTTAAACTCCTGACTTTCCTTTGAAAAGTAAAGTAAGAGGCTGATGAAAAAAATTGAAAAATCATTTACTATAATGGTGGAACCGTCATCTTTGTTTTTCTTTTTTCTTTTTCTTTAAATTTTCTTCTTGCACTTGTGTATGATACACGAGCAGTACTTATTGCCTTGCTTAGTTAGAAATAATATATAAATTATCATGCATGGTATATCCTCTGAAACAAATGTATAGCTCCATCCTTGATTCAGTCCCGTACTTATTGCCTTGCTTAGAAATAGATACATATATACATATATATATATATATATATATATATATCATGTATGATATGTAGTGTGAAGCAAATTTTGAGCTCCATCTTGATGCAATCTCAGCCTAAGTCACATAAAGCAGGAGTGACAACGAATGCGAGAGTAATTAAGTCATAAACAGTTAAAATTTGAGTCAAAAAGTGCGTAAAGTGTGACAGAGGAAGCGCGCTCGGAGCGTGAAAGCGACACCCATTGAGAAGGATTGTGTGACTTAGATCCCAGCACTCATATCGTGTAGGTTGTGCAACCTCTTGAGACTATTGGTTGAGATGTGAGATTAAGAATTAAGATTGATATATATATATATATAAACCTTATAGAATATATTGTGCATGTTAACATATCAATTTTGTATATAACTCTAATAAATCTAATTGGGTACTACTTAGTGACTTAGTTGTTAAAGCGCTTATCTCCCGGTCTTTGGTCAACTTACTTACATATATGCATGCATATATCAGGGCATATATCAGCTCTCATGGGTTCCGTTAGATACAATGGCAAATCTTGAAACTTCGCAAATTTATTATCATTTACATATATCAGTTTTTGTGACTTCTAAACCTGAATACAAGCAACAAAATTGATGTTTGGAAGTATGTATAGCATCATCTCATAAGAAAGGAACCGCCTTTATCCTCCATGGTGTATTTGTCCTATTTTATCATGAAAAGAATTGAAGTTGCTGGTGAAGAAATAGAGTACTATTTTCTATTGTCGTTGATGTTAAGGGAATTCAATCTAATGATTAATGGGTGTGCATGACCTCTCTTTTTGTGTGGAGGATTCTTGTCCCTCATAAGACCACTATGATTACTAATTTTGTCTCCTTGCCAATGATTGATGGGTGTGCATGACCTCTCTTTTTGTGGAAGAGGATTCTTGTCTCTCATAAAACCACTATGATCACTAATTTTGTTTTCTTGCCACTTCAACCAAACAAGTAAGTTACGTAGCAAATCTAAACATCAACAAAATTAAATTTTTACTCAAATAAACTCTAGTCTTTGGGTCTAATTGACTGAATTAATTTTTCTAAGATATGTTTCGAAACACCGTCCCCAATATTGGCGGGGTTCAAGAAACACAAAAAAGTTATCGTTGGGGAGGGTATTGAGGATCAAAAAAGTTCTTGACAATTAGTCAAGAAAAGGTTTCTGAATTTTTTTCTCTATTGCTACTGTGGCTCTATTATACTTTATAAGTATACTTGCACTGATATAGAGAGAGAAAGGAACCTGTTAAAGAAAAGATTTACGCTCCAGATAGAGAGGAAATTGGTAGGGGCAGTTTTGTGACTCAAATGGGTACTTTAGGATTTTCATAAAAGAATGAACGAATTTATTCAATAGGGAGCAATTTAAATATAATTTATTCAATAAGGAGCAATTTAAACAAAAAATAAATAAAGATAATATAGATAAATATATATATATATATATATATATTTGTCTAAATAGGGGTGTTTTTTTGTATAGCAAGATATTGGTATTCAATGTTTGGGAAGTATTATGATATTGTTTTTTTGATATTAGTATCTATTTAGAACCATATCATGTTTGAGACAATTTAATATTAATTTGCAATAATTCGTAACATATCAAATTTTTTTTATATTGTAAATGAAGAACTCAAACATATTTTCGAATTTTTTTTATTAACGATATGTTTTAGTCATTACGGTTTTGGTCAATACCAAAACAATCGTTTTATTATTTGGGTAGAAATCAAAACCATATTTGATAATAAAAATTTGTTTTTCAAAAATTTGCTTTAATTCATCTGCTACAATACCAAAACACACATTATCACCAATTTGGTGATATGAGTTTGGGTCAAAAAATCTAAACGGTTATGAATTATTTCAAACCAATATCGGCCCTACCAAACATGAGACTCAAATTTGGATACCAATATCAGAAAAACAATATCATAACACTTCCCAAACAAGCCCTAATAAATAAATGTATATATATATATAATGATAAAAATACAATGATTATAATAATTAAAATAAATATATATATAATAATAATAATAAAAAAACTACAATGATTAAAATAATTATTTAACGGATCAAAGTCTAACAATATTAGGGAGTGTGATTTACCATTATTGTTTTTGAGACCCACTATACAGCAAAAGTTCACTGCCAAACTTTAATTTCAATCACCATTGCATCCCACACTCCATAAGACGCAGTAATACAATACTCGAGCTATATGCGGGCCTTTAAAAAAATCAACAAACAAACGAACCGAATACAAAACATCAAGAAGAAAACCATGATCTAAACAAGGTTAGCACAAAAATAAACGGTAGATTCAGCCAACAAACACAACAAATAAATGTACCATATTTAAAGCATTCTATTACAGAAGATAACAGGCGAATTTCTTTTTCAACCAAAAGCATTCAAAATAAAAAAATTAGACGGTGAGAGTTGCCTGAAACCCAGTTTTATAAGGAAATGAGTGGTCCTAAGCAACTGAATCTATAAAAGCTCTTCCTGGTTGACGATTGGCCAACGGTCCATGGCATCCCAGAAGCTGCAAGATTCAAATCCACACACAAAATACATTAGATCTCTGTCATGGGGGATAATATAACAACTAATCCAGTATACCACCACCAAGCAGCTGCCTGATTGGCAGGCATTCACTGGAGTGATGTACGGTACAACCCAATTAATAAACGTGAATGAATAAACATAAGCAGCAGAACATGGCATGTTTAACATAGACTAACCTTGGCATTTACACCGTCGGGCATAATGCGGTTTTCTGCTTTCCACTTCACATAATCAGTACGGCTGAACTTCGTAAATCCCCTGAACATGGCATTGACAAAGGATTAACATAATTATTTTTCATCAATATATAATTTGAAGATCACAATGATTAAATCAAACATAATAATTGCATTATTAACAACCTTGCAGTTGCAGGTTGGCGCATGTGTGGATTTAAGACCAATAAATGATACAAGAGGAACTACTATATCAATTTCAAACCATAACAATTAAACTACTTCTACTTGTTTTGTTGGAAGACCTTAGGCACTCAAGCGCCACATGATTAATATTATATTGCCATGATGGATGATTTTCGAAATACATGCCACAAAAATATCAGTTCATGACTAATAGCTAACACACACACATACATACATACACACACACACATATATATATATTACATACCACTTTCGGCTGACAATGATCTTTTGACGACCAGGAAACTTGAACTTCGCACGGCGCAGAGCCTCTTGAGCATTATGACTGTTCCCGTCTTTGCAACGGACAGAGAGCAGAACCTGACCGATGCTCACACGTGCACATGTACCTTGCGGCTTACCAAAAGCCCCCCTCATTCCAGTCTGGAGCCTATCAGCCCCAGCACACGACAACATTTTGTTTATACGCAAGACGTGGAAAGGATGAACGCGTACCCTCAAGTGGAAAGCATCCTTTCCAGCAAATTTTGTCATGTATTTGTTGCACGCAATGCGTGCAGCTTCCAATGCCTCACTGGTGACATTCTCCTTCTCCCAACTAACCAAATGCACACAAAATGGGAACTCATCTACACCCTTTTTCTTCATTCCAACATCATAAATCCTGATCTTTGGATCTGGAACACCACGGCAATACCTTGATTTCGGGTATGGCTTGTTTTTAATCTGGCGATAACACCTTGCTGGTCCTGCAAAATTAAAAAACAATATGATCCACAATTCCCATGCTACGCATCTCATAATGAAATTCAAAATGTTATAAAAATCATTGAGAAACCACTTCTAGGTAGAGCATAACATATACAATATTCTAAGCAACAGATGGAACAAATTCATCAAAAAATAAATAACATGATGTCAATAATACATGATAAAACTGAAAAGGACAACTAGCATGACCAAGGACTCAGATGATGCTAGCAACATTAACCCCACTAAAACCAAGGTTTATCCACATTAAACAAATGAAAGGTATTTGGTAAGGAATAAGCGACATGTAAAACAAGATACCAAAACACAAGTAAAAACATGATAACATATGATACAACCTTTCTGGAAAACATACAAGGAATTGCTATTGCACATTATCTAAAGTATTCAAACTTTAATCAAATGACCAATGAAAGTTCCCTATAATGAAGCTGGTCTAAAAATATAAAGGGGTAATTCAAAACTTGAAGATGAATTAGTTGAATATCTTCAAGTCAAGCCTAGTTCCTAATTCCATGCCAAAATGTCTGTATACTACCGATGTTGATATGCTCAAGACATTATCTAATGACACGATGAACACACCAGAGGGTGCCAAAATGTCTATACTACCGTTGTTAATATGCTCAAGCCAACATCTAATGACACAAGGAACACAGCAGAGGGTCCCAAAGAAAAATTGACAAAATAATAATAAATTCTCTTCACAAATCAAGGCGGCACTCTCCTTCTCAACCTAAGTCAAGAATTGCAGGGATAACAAATGGCTCAGGAATTGACCAGTTCCGAGCAGACTCGGATGAGTCGAACAATTAGCTCAAGAATCGGATGACTAAAACAGATTGGCCCTTATTCACCATCAGCCGGAAATACCCAAATTTAATTAATCTCCAAAAAGTGGGTTATCATCAATTTATTACAGCAAGTGTAACAATGATCAACCAATAATTTGCAAAGCAATTTAAAGAATTTAAAAGGCAAGGTGGGATCCCTTATTTTCATTTTCTTGTTTTACAAGAAATAACCTCATATTTCTTTTGCGATCAAACAGGTTGATTAAAAGAAAATTATTCTGCACAAGATGGCACAAACTGACATGAATAACACAAGAAGACACTCACCGAAATCTCATATTCAAAACCCTTCGAAGGTAACATATAAATTATCAATTCTACATTCCCCATCAATCTATGTTATACAGTGCCAAACGAGGTCCAAATATTCAGCGAGAGTCAATACGTGACGAGATAATATACAGTTTATATCCATACGAATATATCTATATAGACATATATCATATGCATACATCTAGATGAACATAAATATAAACATATACTCGCACATAAAAACACTTACTTCTCCCCATGGCGGCGAACGGTGATCTGCCCAGAGCTCTGAAGACCTAGAAATTACAGGGGAGGGTATGCGATGCATTATATAGTACGTGCAGAGTATTGAAACCCTAGCCCAAATACGTGTGGGCGTGCGTGGCGCATGGGCCTACTCTGCTTCTCGAAGCCCGCTAAATATGGACCGGTCGTTGGGCCTGATACATAAGTCCTGTATGATCTGAAAATAATGCCACCATTCTCTCTTGGAGTTTAAATAATTTTGAAAAATAATTAAGAGCTTGTGTGGGATTTGACCTTAAATTAGCCTTTAATTGGGTTACTTTTGCATATATAATCTCCATACATAACCCTATAGAGATTATTATACAAAACACTAAAAAATTTCTCAAGAAATCGATTCTATGCTGTATTAATATATATTAAATAAGATTTAATAAGAAAGAAATTAAAGTAAAAGCTGATCAATTTTAATAAATGTTATACATCCAAAACCATATTAAGTTCAAGTTCGTAATTTTCAACTCATGTCCAACATTTACAGTAGAAAACTGTTCTAACTAGCCTGACAAAGCATACCATTCATATTAATAATAAGCTCCATTTTATGATTATAAAAAAACATGCCACCTTCAAAAAAATGAAGGGCTGTGTACGGGGAATAATTGGTGTATATTTGCTTGAATTATTCTTGTCAAGAAATTAGTGACAGTTTCATTTTAAGTCGTAGAAGCAGCAAATTTGAAGAGTCATTTTAGTGAATCGTGTTAAAACAATTTCGAAGTTAAAAAATTGATAATCAGAAAAAGCTACTTTTTTAATTCATTTTTTTTATTATATGAAAATTTTAATATGTTTTATCTTTTATTAGTTCGCAAACAGGAAAAAAATTGCTGAAGGAAAATTAAACAAAAAAATGTAGTCAATATATTTGGTGTATGAAATCTCTCACCCAACACTTACCATGTTCCTTAACTTCAATTTATGGCTGAGCAATCATTTTCCTTTTATTATCAAAATTACATTTTTTTTTTTTTTTTTGGTTTTTCCAGAAGCACGTATTTCTCTTATGTGCCTCAAACCAAAAAGACTTGAAATTAAAAGGGCAAAAGGTAGATAAATATTGAGTACTTAAAACTTAAAAGGACCGATAAAACAGCAGCGTAAATGAGTCGGTTGCTTTATCCGATATGAACAAGGTAGGCACAAGTTACCCTTAATTTAAAAGGACCGATAAAACAGCAGCGTTAATGAGTCGGTTGCTTTATCCGACATAAACAAGGCAGGCACAAGTGACCCCCATATATATATACACAGTGCTGTTCAACTGATCCCTAATGAGGAGAGAGTTGTACACTCACTTTTAGAATCTAATCCGACGGATAACCTTTTTTTCCCTGTGTTTAGAAAACTTGATCATTCTTTCAATTACCATTCAATTGAAATGACAAAAGTAGACACCCACTTAAAAGAAACAAAAATAAAAATATTTTGTTACTAAATTTGTCAATTGAACATTCGGAATCAAATTGTCAATTGAACATTCAGAATCAAATAAAACACTGGCAATTAGTCTTTTCTTCCCAGGAAATAAAACTAGAGATAAGCATAGTTAGCCGAAATTGTGTGTGTATTATAGATATAAGCCATTTTTCAGATTTTAATTTTTAATTTTTTTATCAAATAGGATCACAATGAAAAAATAAAAAATAGGTTTGTTTTTGATATAATGTTACAATTTTCAGATTTGATTTTTGTTTTTTGTGGCATAAGAAACATTCTGACTCCTCTAATCTTTGTGGAACTCAAATTTATAGGTAATATAGGTTTGACGATCTTTCTGTTTGCCAGGAAAAAAAAAAAAAAAAAAATCATACACGAAGAAAATTTATAATTTATAGGTACTTGTTGCTTTGATGACCCTTCGTGTACGATGGTCCTTGTATAAAACAGAAGAAAATTAAGGAAAAATCCTATACATTGCAACCCTAAACAAAACAGAAGAGGAAAGAACGAGGGGTTTCTAGACGTGTAAAATTTTTTAAGTTTATCAAAAAATCAATTAAAGTCTAAGATGGTTTAAAATTATTTAAGTTTGACAGCATACTAGTATTCTTTTTTCTCAACTCATGTTAATTTAACCTGTTTGTCTTATTATTATTTATTTATTTTTAATTTTTATGAAGTCAAGTGTTGTGATTGTAATCTCTAGGACTATATCATCTCTAACTTTTATTGTTGGTGTGCCTAAAAAACGTAATTTAGAATTAGGTTTAAAAAATAAGGAATCTTAAAAGAATCCTAACCATCAAAACCTCGACCACAAATTCTTGTAATTATTAGTGAAATGGCCTCGAAACTGGGGACAGTATTTTTAGTGTAATTCAGATAATTCTCTTTAGTGTAATTCTTGTAATTCAGATTTTTTTTTTCTCTTGCTCTTCTTCACACAAAGTACACAAAAATCTCTAATTTTATTTTCTCGGTAGAACTTGCTAATTTTTTATTTGATTCCCGAGTATTCAATTGCCGAAATCAGTTTTAAAATATTTGGGTAAAGTACAACCACGTGAGATTTGGCAAAAGAACACACAGGTGAAAGTTACTCATTTGTTAGACAATGACACCCCTTCAAGTTTGAAAAATGGACAAAGAGACCCTGACAATGGTGAATTGACTTTATTACCCTTTGATATAAAATTGATATTTTAATTGACTTAAATACCCTTGGATCAAACCCAAACCTTTCTCCCTTTCTCTCTGTATGTGTGTGTGTGTGTGTACACACACAAACACATTACATAATCGCCGCCCGACGCCCTGTGTAAAGAACCCCTCAGCCACCGCGTCATCATCATTGTCATGGTGGTGGTGCTTGAACCCATTGTCATGGTGGTGGTGGTGACGACGCATGCCGCCATGGAACATCATCAGATCGAAGTCACTGTTCTCACCTTTTCTCCTCTCTGTTCTCTTTTCCTCCGCCCCAACACCAACTGACACACACACACACATATATATATGTACATATAGATACATATATACACACACATATATATACAGGCGGCGATGGTGAATGGATCCGCGGCCTTCATCCTTCGATTCTGTCGACCCTAGAGCTTTCATCCTTCGAATCCGACCTAGATTTTGCAAAGATTGATACATATATATGTGTACACACCCCCTTTTTGTTTTATCCACAACCCATTCACAGCCCCTTTCTAGGAATACAAACCTTGATCTGGCGGTAGAGGGATCGGACGACCGGCTGAACTCGTCATAGTCATCGTTGGGGGATGCAGTGGCGCCACTCAATAAGAGCGGTGTGGGTAGTTGTGGTAGTAGCGGGGGAGGTTGAGGTGTGGCGGTAGC